AAGGCACAAATATCTTTTTCGTTCGGGGACGACAATCCCAAACCGGCCTAATACACCTGCTCATGTGGTGCGGACGCCATGCGTTTTCGCTTCAATTGCATGAGGGCAGTCTTTTCTGCTGCTGATGCTGGGGCGTGTCAGATGCGCTGAAATTGCTGAAGCGCCTGCCGGTTTTCCGCCAATTGTTGTCGCTTATTCCGCTTTTACAATTGGGAAAGGAACCCGCTGGCGCCGTGCCGAACCCACTCCCCTGACAAGCCCTAGCATCCGCAGCGAACAAGACTGTATTCGTGTTCAGAAGGTCGAACCACTACCGAGCGCAAAGTACTGGTCAAATCCATCGCTACGAAAAAATTTCGACTGTTATACGACCTGATATTTGAGGAGTGGAGCAGTGAATGGTACTGAGAGATGTACTACATTTGAGTATGAGGTTCTACCGTGCAAGTTTTGTTGTCAATGAAGAAAATTTGTTGAACTTGGACACACACACAAACCGGGGTTATTAAGAATGTCCTAAATGAAGGCAGACATGACAGCGGCAAAGACTAACGGCGACGATTTCGACGTCGTGGTGGCGGGTTTATTTGGGATCTCGGCGTAAAGCTACAGAACAAAACGGCAAAAACCGTTATATGCTGAAGATATGTAATAGTACGTAACGGCTATTCACTCGTTCTTTGCAGGTGAGTTAATGAGAGTTGAGAGGTCAGAGAAATTGGCTGATAATGTGGACGTGGCCGGTGATGTTGTGGTGGCGGCAACTGCAGTAGGCGATGAGCTAACCGGTGAAGCAACACTGCTCGGTGTGACCGAAGCTGTCACAGCTGCAGCGGCTGCTGCTGCCACTGAAGTGGTTGCCGCAGTCGTTGTTGGCGTTAGTTGCTTACACATTTCGTTAAGTCGAGACATATGTTGAAGATACATGAGCTGTTGAGTTTGTGGCATTGTGGCCATGACCATGTTGAGCACGTCCTGTTGCATAAGTGGTGATGGAAATGGCATTCCTACAGCCGACGGGATGATCGGTGTAGCGGTTGAGACAGCTGGGGTGATCGCTGGCGAATGTGGACGTCTTACAGCTGCAGCGGCCAGCATCGCACTCGGCGTCATCAGCAGTGATTCAGCTGAAACACAAAAAAATTAGTCTTAGTCGAAAACATTCTGGAGCAGTTGTCAGCTTGGAGGGGCGTTTTGCACTTTCCGCTAGTTCCATTTGTTGGCTTATGCTTATTGGTAGGTCTCTCTTAATTAAAATTTTCAGAATCACGGCACGTCGTACGTTGGCGATCCCCAGCAAGGAGTGGGATCGTATTTATGAGCGGAGTCGTGTTCGCTTTGGAGAAAATGTTTTAGT